GTCTTCACAAACGGGGTCCACTCATTCCTGGCAACTTTGCGTGCAAATGTTAGTTGGGCGACTGGTTTATACTTCATCTTGTTGTCAATTGCATTTTTTTTAATCTCCAAATGGTTGAAATTATTTAAAATGAAGCTAAATGATCTGTTTTAGTTCGGTGTTGGGCTTAAGGCCTATCATCCGCCGAAGGGTTATTAAGACTACCACAATAGTTTACTTACAAGCAAAGTATACTTTAGTCCTAAACATAGTTCAGGACTACATTTGCTCTCAGTGTATTATGTGTACTCATACTCAGTGTATGAGCGCCCCACTTCTCTGTGGGAGTTCTCGTACCCCACAGAGAAGAGGAACACACTTCTCGCTTCATATATTTATGTAATTTCCACTGCACTGATCAGAAGTTTGCGGCACTGCTTGTCCATTTGTTTACGCAATATGTAAATAATATGATTTTTTTTAATATTCAACAAATCTTAAACCTTATAGCAACGAGGAGGCCTGGTGGAAGACCGGGCCGTAGAGACGCTAAGCCCCGAAATCATCTCAAGGTAACCGCAAGATAAGGTTCCGTATAACATCTCCTATTATTCAAGTGAATGTTATGTTATTACCTACGGTATTGTGGACAATTTACCGGGTAACATAATAGACGTGGGTTAGGTTAGGTTAGGTTAGGTTAGGTTAGGTTAGGTTAGGGCTATAGGTTCAGTTGGTCATTATTGGTGTTTGAAGTACGTGGATTTACAGATTACAGAAGTACGTGGATTTACAGATTACAGAAGTACGTGGATTTACAGATTACAGAAGAACGTGGATTTACAGATTACAGAAGTACGTGGATTTACAGATTACAGAAGTACGTGGATTTACAGATTACAGAAGTACGTGGATTTACAGAAGTACGTGGATTTACAGAAGTACGTGGATTTACAGATTACAGAAGTACGTGGATTTACAGATTACAGAAGTACGTGGATTTACAGATTACAGAAGTACGTGGATTCATTTACAGAGTTCGTCAGCGAACCACTTCGAGAAATGATCGAATATCATCAGTTGTGAGTCAAGTGTAACGTGTTTTTCTTTCATAAACAATGGTTTTGACGACTGGATTAATGAGAATTTGGCCTTTGTTGATGAGGACGGGCTGTGGCATTTGCTGTATGCAACACGTGGATGAAGCATTTAGAGACGTGCGATTCAAGTAGAGGACATGAACGAGAAAAATATATGTCATCAGCAACATTCCATCATCAACAAAGGCCAAATGCTTGTTAGTCAGCCACCAAACCTGTTTATGGATGAAAAACACGTTACAGACGACTCTCAACTGATGACGTTCGAGGTTTCTCGAACTGAGATTGAGAGATGAGATTGAGATATATACAAGAGTTGTTACATTCTTGTAGAGCCACTAGTACGCGTAGCGTTTCGGGCAGGTCCCTGGAATACGATCCCCTGCCGCGAAGAATCGTTTTTTCATCCAAGTACACATTTTACTGTTGCGTTAAACAGAGGCTACAGTTAAGGATTTGCGCCCAGTAAATCCTCCTCGGCCAGGATACGAACCCATGACATAGCGCTCGCGGAACGCCAGGCGAGTGTCTTACCACTACACCACGGAGACAGTGTTTTGCTGGCGACCTCTGTTCGACTCGCATCTCTTTAAATCCTTCAACCACGTACTGCAAATACCAATAATATCCAGCAGAACCCTATCTTGAGGTTATCTTGAGATGATTTCGGGGGGCTTAGTGTCCCCGCGGCCCGGTCCTCGACCAGGCCTCCACCCCCAGGAAGCAGCCCGTGACAGCTGACTAACACCCAGGTACCTATTTTACTGCTAGGTAACAGGGTCATAGGATGAAAGAAACTCTGCCCATTGTTTCTCGCCGGCGCCTGGGATCGAACCCAGGACCACAGGATCACAAGTCCCGCGTGCTGTCCGCTCGGCCGACCGGCTCCCCTAACGTAAATTTGCCCTAACTATTGACCACATTCAGTATGAAATAATATCACCTTATATTTGAGAAAAAACTGAATAAGCATCACGTTAAAACTGATGAACGCGGCTTTAGGTCAGGCCGCCGCTTGGACGAACGTGGCTTTAGGTCAGGCAGCCGCTTGGACGAACGTGGCTTTAGGTCAGGCAGCCGCTTGGACGAGCCTAGCCTAAGGACAGGTAGGAAATCTGCCACAGATCTTTTTCTCCGTCCGAAAGCAAGGGTTTTCCCTCCTATTTGGTACCTTGTGTCTGGCGTCCTGTTGGTAACACACATCTTCATTGCATTGCACTTGCCTGAGGTACACTCTTATAACCACTTGGTAAACCTTTATTTCAACCTACCCAAGTCTTACAATCTTCCAGCCTATTGATCCTTCTTGCAATTGTTATGTCATCATCAAACGTTGACTGGAAGGAATTTATCCCCTCCGGAAGATCCTTCACACAAATCAAGAACAGGATAGGTACTAGTACTGATCCCTGTAGGACCCCGATTAGGCACTCCCTTGTTTATTGTCGCACTTTCCCTGTCACTTCCCCATGTTTGTCGAACTTGTGTACTAATTACATGTGTGTGTTCAGCTTCTATGCTCATTGTGTGAATATAATATATAATATGCATATGTCTCCAGCCCGTCCTCCTAAGGTTTCCCAACGTCAAGAAACTGTCGTACTAAAGTGCCCTTATCCTAACCTACCAGAGGACCCAAAACCTACCAGAGGACAGTATGTCAATTCCGCGAGCCGCTACCATTTTCTGGTACGACGATTTTTGGCTTTAGGTAAAGTATACGACGTTCAAAATGCGACGTTCTATTAGGAGGACGGGTTGTATTGCCTTTGTATTGAGACGGCAACCTCCAAGGTACCACAAGATGAGTTTCTTAGGCCATCATCACTTTACCCTTCTTATCCTTTCTTTTCTGACACTGTCTGCTCGGGGTACCCGTTCCCCGCTCGATATTCCCTTCGCTGATGCTCAACATCCTATTTATCCTCTCATCTCTGCTCGACACCTTAGGTCAGGCAATCGACTTGAGAATGGTCCAGGACGGACCGAAACGTCGTCGTCCTTTTATTTTCTAGTGTGTGGATTGGTCATCTCCGCTCGACACCTTTTCACCTTTCCCTCACCTCTCCCCCTTCATTTCAGTACGACACCCCCCTCATCTCTGCTTGACACCCCTCTCCCCCCCCCCTCACCCCTCTCTCTCCCCCCTCGCTCGACCCTCTCCTAACTCCCCCCCACCCCCCCCCCTCATCTTTTGGAACGAGTTCTTGCCTCAGTAACAACTTTCGCTCAGGTAGCCAAGTAGACGCAAAAAAATACCTTTCCCTTGCTCCTGTCTGACCTGGGTTATGAGGCTAGTTTACCTCCTCACCAATCGTAGCGTCATCTTGGAGAATAGACCTGTCATGCTGGTGACCGCTCACAGAACACGAGTGGTGTCAGGCTGACACCTCAGGACGCACAGTACTAAATGGTTGAGTAAACACAGAGACGGATATACGAACATCAAATATTTTCATGGGAGTGTGACTTGTCTTATGGAGAGACAGACAGGTCGACGGATAGCGAGGCAAAATATAAACAGGCAGACAGTAAGTCAGACAGACACTGGCCACATACTGAGAGAAACAGCAACAGACTTAGACGCAGCAAATAAAGTCTCAACAGTGAGACAGAACTTCCTCGTGATCACAACAGCGGCAAGAAAGATAGAGTTTCGGCCTCACACACTCGGGGGTCCACGGTTCGACTCTCCTAGAGCCCAGGTGAACGGAACAACAAGAAAATCTGCTTATGACGTCATAAACCCCACACCCTGCATATCCACACCCAGTATTTCCACCCCACCCCCCGCCCTTCCTTCCCTTCACCCTCATCACTACCACAATATCCACCCTCGCTCCCTCTCCATACCTCACCCAACACACTTGGACACAAGCTTCCTATGTCACCATTATTAGCCTCGTTTAGTACGGTAATGGGGCGCTGACACCCTCCCCCGTGTAGCGTTCCAAGTTCCGAGCGTAGCTTACACTATGCTGCATGCTCGGAACCAACACCAATGCAGCTCATAACAGCACCCTGGACAGAATATGTTTAGGTTCAGAAACGTCAGTCATGTGAATGGAAGCTCCGTCAATCCACTTATCCCCCAGGCTTGTTTGTGTAATACAGTGGTATATATTACGATAAGGTTAATCTCCAAATTGCAGGCATTTTAATGTTTTTGTTCTTCTGAACGTTTATATCATTAGCTGACCTCATTCATATACATACATGAAAATAACCTTTTGGCTTTTTAAAACAGTTTTTTTATTCTTACTGGATTTTGTTACATTTTTAGACCAAACCTAGGCTTTTAGTACTTAATTAATTTCCAGTTGCGTGCAGCCTAGCTGCGTGTGTTGACCAGACCACACACTAGAAGGTGAAGGAACGACTACGTTTCGGTCCGTCCTCGACCATTCTCAAGTCGATTGTGATTTATTGAAATTAATGATCATAACATAAACTGTCTGATCACAACCGACTTGAGAATGGTCCAGGACGGACCGAAACGTCGTCGTCCCTTCACCCTCTAGTGTGTGGTCTGGTCAACGTACTTCAGCCACGTTATTGTGACTCATCGTCTGCATATAGCTATGTATGTTTGTACCTACAACGTTGGGGGTTTGGGCAGGCCTAGTGTTAACCGACTTTTTCTTCAACTATTATCAATAGTTTGGATAAAGACTGAGTATATTATTAATTCACAGATTATTTACAAAACACCCAACCCAGAAATCGGAAAAATTACTGCTGCGTCTTCGTCTGTCTCGGGCCATAGTCAATGGTCATTTATTTTCAGATTTATGCGTTGGGTGTTTTCGCTAATTATTGGGTTTCCATGCGACGCTTTGTAAGCGTTTATTGTGTATTGTTATTGCTTTATTATTTATTTAAGTCCACGTGATATGGCTAATTGTGTATTTTCCTTACAGAAGTTCCTATTTTTTACCCAAATGTAAATTGGTGATTTAGTGAACTGAGTAAAGTCTTGTCAATAATAACTTGATACATCTTACTGGCAGTGGAGAACAAAATCTGCTCGATATCATTTGTTTCTTATAAGAGAGCAAAAGAATTATGAATTTAATTATGATAAAGAAAGTTTGTGTGTTAGTGTTTTTTGTGTCGTGGGGCCAAGTGAGGTCTCAATATGACGTTCTTCCAACTTTGGGCAGACGCCCTGGGGCCAGCCCTGTAGCCATCCAACAGCCAGTGCCCAGTAGGGCCGTTTGGTTCGTCAACGGCCCAACGGAAATATCTGTTGAAGCTGAGGAACAGAGGTCAGGCGGAATAGGTAGATTTGTCAACGGCCCAACAGGCATATCTGTTGAAGCAGAGCAACAAAGTCGAGGCCAGCCTCCAAGGTTCGTGAACGGACCAACAGGCATATCTGTTGAAGCAGAGCAACAAAGTCGAGGCCAGCCTCCAAGGTTCGTGAACGGACCAACAGGCATATCTGTTGAAGCAGAAGAACAAGTATCCAACCAGGCCCCGAGCTTCGTGGGCAAGTCTGCTGGCATATCCCATCCAACAGACGAACACCAGCCAGACGAGGTCACTTATGACATCATTAACAACACCGGAAGTCCAGTGACGGGTGAACAAGAACAAACGAGGTCAAGCAGCCGAGGCGTGTTCTCTCCTGACCCTGGAGATGACCGTCTCAAGGAACAGGTCAGTAAAGCTAACTGCCTAATTAAAATACAAGAACATATTCACGTTTCAACACTCTCTTATGTAACGGCGGGTCAGGTTTCCTGTTTTTTAAAGAGTCGTCTTCGTTACAGCAGCTGCCGCCAGGGTTACACATCGACACCGCTGATTGGTCGAAGGACTCGGTGTACTGGAGCTTCAAGGGCGGTGATTGGTCCCTGGTGGACTTGCCAGATCCCGCCCATCCCGCCCTGCCCGCCCCTGTCCTACCTGGACCTGCACTTCTGGTTGTCACTCAGGAGTTCCTCAAGAAGGTATGGATGACGGCGCATTCATGCAGAAGTTGAACATTAATAAATATTAAAATAATATCAAAATAGCAGTAATAGCAGATGTATAATGACCTGTGTCCCCTATATTGACTCTTGTTCCCAACAGGTGTATAATGACTGATATCCCCCGCTGGTATGTGACCGGTGCCCCCCCCCCCTACATGTGTAGAGTAACAGGTGGATAATGACTGTCTTCCCGCAGGTGTACATACAGAGGGAGGTGAGAGGCCTGACGAACGTGACCCTTCACTACCGCTTCTTCCTGAGTCAAGGCGACGGTCCCCACGGCGTGCCTGAGCTCAAGGTGTGTCTCCAGGAGGCTGCCGCACCTGTCCGCCCTCCTCTCTCCTTCCCTTCATTTAACCTGATGACTTTATCAAGCTGGATTTTCAAATTCAGAATTGTTTAGGCAATTACGGCTTCGGCGGGTAGGCGGTTCCATGGGGTTATAACCCTGTAGGAGGGAAAAGCATCTCCTGGTTTACCTTCCTGTATTGTAGCTTGTTGAGCTTGATACCGTTGCTCCTTGTTTGTGTTATATCTCACTTTTTGAAGAAGTTGTCTGGATCAACGTCCTCCAAATTGTTCAGTATTTTCTATGTTTCGATGAGATCAGCCAGTGTTCCCCCCCATGTATCGAACATTACAGCTCGATTACTTTAAATGAGTATACACCAGATCTGAGATCAAAAGTTCAAAATAAGTTCCAGTAGTATGATTACTACTATAAACACAGGAAGTACATTGTGGAGGTGGGGTCCCTCGATTGTTTCAAGCACGGGTTGGACAAGTATATGAGTGGGATTGGGTGGTTATAGAATAGGAGCTGCCTCGTATGGGCCAATAGGCCTTCTGCAGTTACCTTTGTTCTTATGTTCTTATGTTCTTACACTCACACACACAAATATGTGAGTACACACACACACACACACACACACACACACACACACACACACACACACACACACACACACACACACACACACACACACACACACACAGTAAATATAGAAAACAAACATTGAAAGTTCATCTGCTGATTAGTGTCTACAGATTTTCGAAATTCTTTACGAATATGATAACATTAGTACCTAATTAAGGACAGTTTATGTAAACAAGAAACTAATGTAAAGAAATGTAAAGAAACTATAGACAGTTCATGTAAAAAAATTAATACTATATTTAGTATTAATTCTAACAGTGGCATTTAAGAATCCTAAAAATTATATGTACTATTTTCATTGGGAAATCATTATTCAAACACTTTCAAAAAATATCTAGTATAAAATTTCTTGCCATCAGAGCTGGGATTGAAACCATTTATTTACTAGCATTTTAATAGCCTCCCGTCCTCATCAACAAAGGCCGCCAATTCCCCGGGGTATTTATGAGTGATAAACACTACACAGGACTTTACGGGCTATTCATGCCCGTGCCACCTCTTGGGTGGCTTAATCTTTATCAATCAATACACAGGACTCACAACCGATGACGAATGTATGATAACCAAACCACAACTCTGAAGATGGAGAAGCGGCGACGTTTCACTCCGTCTTAGATCATTATCAAGTCGTGTGATTGAAAATGAATGTATTTTTCTCGATCAGTGCTTCATTAATGATTGATTGATGAAGAGTAAGCCACCCAAGAGGTGGCATGGGCATGAATAGCCCGTAATGCTTCACTTACGTCGTCTGTTCTATAAATACTACATCCACGTACTGCATATTCCAATAATTGCCAACAGAACCTAATTACCTAACCTAGCCTAAATTAGGCCTAACTATTCAACATATTCTAGTATATAATACTTTTTATTTTGTAGTTGATAAATACCGATCTTGAATAAACAAGTACATTAAAAATTGATGAATACCTTTTTGGGGATGGTCGCCCCTTTAACGAGCCTAGCTTGAGGATAAGTTGCAACAAAAATAATTGCCAGAAAAACTTGAACCCCTAGCCAAAATTACGCCTAAATGTGCACAATATGCTAATATTAATTTATATTTGAGAAAATAACTATTTCGAATGAACAGCAAGCATGTTAAAATTTATAAATGCGTCGTCGGGGTCGGCCGCTGGATGGACTGGACGTTGCATGAGAGTGGGGTGAATGTACATTGTAGCTCCTGTGTATGCTACAATTTTAACTAGGAAGGATTATTTGAATTGCTGGCTTCCAGAGAATGTAAGAGATCTACGCATGTTTTCGTACGTAAACATTACAGGTGTACTTCTTATAGGTGTGACATGTGCGCGTGTTTAACATGGTGATCCTTGCAGGTGTATCAGGTGACGGACAAAAGCCAACTGCTGGTTTCAGAGATGGCTCGGGGCTCCTGGCTAGATCGCACACTCCACCTGCCGGGGCCTGTCCCGTTCACAGTAAGTGCCCATCGTCTGTCAGTCCCTCAAATATTATGTGCATATTTTAGATTAGCTAAGCAGCAGTTTGTGATATCTCTATGGTGATAACTATGTTATAATTACTATTGTGCTCATGTTAATGGCTAGTTTTACCCTTGATTGGGTGACAACAGAGAGCTAAGAACTAACAGCATTATTCCTTGTAGATTGTCTTCGAAGGACGCCTCAGCAAAGAAGGAAATGAGATAGCTCTTGATGATGTGACTATCAGCGGCATCAGCGAGGGAGAGGTTGGACATGGCGAGAGGGAACTCCTCCAGGACGATATTCCAGAACTTCACGATCTTAATGCCACCACTAAGACGACGACTGCCAACGAAGGAGCGGTCGTCTCTTTTACTGGACCGGGTCAAATACAAGAAATAAGTCCAAAAAATGCAACAAAATTGTCAGATGAAATTTTGAAGAAAACGGACAATGTATCATCAAAAACAGAAGTAAAAACACTAAGTCGCAACAATACGACGGAGACTCCTATAGATGCTGCACAAGTTACCTCAACAGCAGGAGTGGACGTGGCCGCCGAGAACAGCCCTGAGATCAAGACTAATGCGACTGAGATGCATATCTCTTCCGAAGATCGCGAAAGTCCTGAACAGGTTCAGACAACAACAGTTGATAGCTCTGACGTAATTCAAACCACAATTGAAAGTATTACAGAAGCTAGCGAGCTGATTCACGAAGATAACGACAAAGAAGCTCATAATTTTACAGCAGATGGTGAACTAAATATGAAAGAAAATGATACGATCAGTACAGTTGGTGAAAAGATTATCGGGGAGACTGAGGAGGCGGACTATAACTCCTCATCAAATACTGGTAAAATTGGTGAGGAAAATGAGTCGGTACAAAACACTACGGAAGATCTAGAGGCTAAAGTCGGAGATAGCGAAACATCGACTCTTATTTCAACCACTACAAGCGATCTACCGAGCGGGAGAGATATCACCGAAGAGCTACGAGAAACAACTTTGACTTACAATGATGCAAATGAATCAGAAGACACTACTAGTATAAATGTTAACTCACAACCTACCACAGATTTCTCCCAAAACCAACGTACCTCGCAAGAAACATTGTCAATAAATACCACAACTTTCAGCCCTCCAATCAACACTGAACCCTCCGTATACCTCCAGACTTCCCAGAGGAATTCCAAGGCAACTGTCGACGTTCCTAGAGGCACACAAAGCCCTAAAAGCACTTCAGATATATCCCGCGCCTCTCAGCCGACTACAGGCTTTAGAGGCACCATAACCCCCTGGGGCTATCCCAGTAAAAGCACCACAATGCAGCCCAGTTATATCCCACCTTCAGGAGACATGACCAGCGCATCTCCTGAGGTGTCTGAGGAAATGCATGTGTCGAACGCCTCATGGGGCATCTTCCAATTCTTCTTGGCCCTGTGTCTCGTTGGCCTCATAGCCCTTGGATTTCTTTACTGGCGAAAAAAGCGGCGACAAGACGACGAGATACCAGTGTTTACCAGATCTTCATACGCCGACTACCACAACCCGACCTTCACCCCAGAGGACGACGCCAACTTCCCCTCGCGCGGGCCACGACACAACTACAAGTCATTCGAGTAGTCAACAGTTAACGGAATGAATGTTAATATATGTGTGTGTGTGTGTGTGTGTGTGTGTGTGTGTGTGTGTGTGTGTGTGTGTGTGTGTGTGTGTGTGTGTGTGTGTGTGTGTGTGTGGATGTGTGTGTGTGTGTGTGTGTGTGTGTGTGTGTGTGTGTGTGTGTGTGTGTGTGTGTGGATGAACTGTTAGCAATAACTGAATAGTCTAAGTAGGCAGGTAAAATCTTGTATATTTAATAGGATTGTATAGTCAGTATGCACAGAAAGGGATTAATTTCACTCTGATATTAAGGATGAAAATGCAATAACAACATTAAATTGTGAAGTGTATGTATGTATCGGGGTTTATATTAATCAACTTTCGTAAGTGATCAGGGATTTCTTGCCATTCGTGGTCAAAATCGAATGTGCGATTTAAATACCAGATTTATTTTTCATTTGTACTAGAAGACGCCATGTTGTGATTATTTTGCTTTATTTAGGAGTTCTCATGGCAAGAATTTCCAGTAGGCCTATCCAGAATAATCTCAACCAATATGTGTTTAATAAGCCTAGTCACTGGGTATGCCTTAGCCTTGTATTACTAGACTTTTGCAATATATACAATTATATATGGTTGTCGATTTGAATTTTTTCCAGCAGGTTTAACGTGTGTTTTATTCAACATATTATTGTTTGGTTTCACTTGTGCCAGGTATTTCAAATTATACATTTTTGAGCGTTAATTATAATTTTGTTCAAAATTGATTTCATCTCTGTAAGAATTTATAGGAAATGTGTTTTCTTTGCATTTCTGCATTTAGTTAAGCCTGGATTTTTCATTTTCATTTTCCTGGACGAATTAAAAAATCTATTTTGTTATTAGATTTAATGAACTTTAGGGACAGCATAATGATTTAATTTCTCATATGTGTATAACAATTCAAAGAACACATAAAAAAAAATTCTCAAGGCTGGCATATTTCCTAAATATATCTTACGTTCTCCGGTAACTAAGTAACCCAACTTCACCAATGTAAAAGGCTAAACAGACTCGTGGAAACCAGCCCATTTTCCTGTCTTGGTAGTACCTATAGTAACGATGAGGACCATAGTACATATACCGACGAACAACGCAATTAGAAAGTAGACATCGTTCTATTGAATTTGGCCAACCGGAAAAGATTTTTTTATTTATGTTGCAAAGACAAACTAAACTAACCTAACCTAGCATTCCTAGGCCTAATAAAGTACACATGTGCCCTATACTAGGCCTGGGAATATTTATGTTTGTTTTTAGCTTCATTTTTTTCCGAGGTACAAAGTGAATGGTACCAAATTCCACTATCTAGTTGCTTAGTACGTCAATCTTTGTACTATGGTGGGCGTAGTTACAAAAACTACTATCTAAACAGGAGGATGGGTATGGGGAAACAGATCCACAAGGGCCGTGACGAGGATTCGAACCTACGTCCAAGATAATCCCAGACGCTGCCTTAATCTGAAAATTTGTTCATTGATGCATCACGGTATTGTGATTTCTGTGTGTAATTGGGAAACAGTACCGTCCCAGTAACAGTAGATGCATTATGCTAAGTGCAAGGCCTAGTGGTAAGGTTGTAGGTCTCTTTGAGCTCTTCAGATGCCGGCCAGAACCGTGAATGCAGTGTGTGTTTCTCCTCTGTATTGCCACACTGAGGCGCTGGCAATGATAGATCCTTGAGGAAGCTCTTGGCACTTTTACCCCAAAAGCATCTGAAACAATGGGGACAAAACTGTAGAAATGACACAGTGCTCTATATTGACGTGAATAATTCCACGTAAGAGACATCATCACCTCTATGTCCTACATTCAAGTCAATATAGGAATCAGCCAAAGTTAATATGTGCGTTCAATCCCACATTTACTGCCTACCATTCTTCTAGGGGAACACCGGTACCCCCTAGACTAACAGATCGGCAGAATTGCGTGACATTAGGAAAAGTGCTTTGAACCCAGCTGTCGTAAGGCTCCTCTTGATAAAGTCATTGACTTCAATGTGCCAGCCCCATGTGCTGAGACAGAGCAAGCCATGTCGACCATATTGGTCAGCCTTTGGAGAGGAAGGCGGAGAGCCACTGCAGTATCCAATAAATATAATTAACAACGCAGAAAATCTGTAAAGTTATATAAGTCTTTCAATACTTATACAATTGATCATTTAAATATGGTTGTACTAAAGAGTTGTGCATGTGCAATAAAAATATTGTAAATATTGCAAGTTTTTTTTGGACCACCTTTAATTTTATTAATTCGAAAAATTCGTACGAAATCCTGTAACAATAAAATAATGATGAAATCATTAAGCATTTGTGATTAATAAAGCCAGATTATTTTATTAATATGAGATGAAATTATATAAAACAGACAAAATTATTCATAGGGCACAAAGTATGTTTCGTGTAACTTGTGATAAAACAGCTGTGCAATATCATTATGGCAGGAAAACTTCCTAGGTAGTTTGTTAGTAAACCTTAGAGGTATTAATGACTATTGTATTGTATTTGACTATTGTATTGTATTGAAGTGAAGATGTGTAAATTGTCAGTAAAATCAAATATGCAGAATAGAACTGGATTAAGTGATTAACATATAATAATGTTAATATTAGGATATAAAAATAATATCCCGTACAAGGGAGGGATTCTTAATTTAGTCTAATAGTAATAATTCAGTTTAGTTTATTTATTATGCACCTCATGCCCAGAATGTGGGCGGTAGTAGAAAAGTCTACAGAGGCAGAATGGACTCAGGTATTGAACCCCAAAATTCATTTAGCTAAGCTAGCTACAGTCTTGATAAGCTGTTTACGCAGTTCAATGTATATATCAACATTGGGTTGGAGAACGACCACAACTACAATTTTTAGCGACAACAGTTGATTTAGATAAGTTTTGTTTGGATTTAGATAAACTACCGCTCACAGGATGAGCATAATAAGCTAACTTTGCGGCTGGAATCAATAATGCCTTTATAACTGGCCTGATGACTACTACCTTCTTCGACACAATTGTAGAGGGAACCAGATTCAAACTGGAATTAAACCGTCGGCGGGTAGTTTCCTCCAGCAGAGCGCTCTGTGATTGGTTGGCCGCGGCGACGACGCCCCGGTGGCCTACCTCAGGGCGGCCGGCCAGTACTACAAGTACCCTGAAGGGAGTGTCATGTAGCGAAAGTCACAGCCCCGCTCCTGTGCTTGTCCGAGACGGGCTCACCGTAGTCCGTGCTACTTGGAACCTTTTGTTCCGAGTAGCTGAATCTAAAACAACATGGGATGTAGCTGTTCCGTACCTGCTCTGACCTCGCGATCCCGACATCCACCTTAACATAGCACAAGTGGAGGAGCTCGCCACCATCTTGCTAGTCTACTGAAAGAAGAAGGAACTATCGCCATGAGGTGAGCTCTCCAGGTGTTTTTCTCACTCTACCTCGTGAAGGAGGGCTGACCGATCTTGACTTAACACTACCTAACGACTCTATCGCAATTCAGGAGCCTGAGCTCGATCCCCGGGCGGGACAGATACTGTTGGGCACTTTCAGGTTTAACTGACGCCTCTGTTCACTTAGTAGTAAGTAGTAGGTACCTGGGTCTTAGATAACTGTTGTGGGTTGCATCCTGGGGAAGGTCAGAAATTGATCTGAGGGGGGGGGGGACCTCGATAAACTAAAATAGATGCTGTCTACCCCCGACAACTGGAATTGAAAATAAGGGGTGATAGAAGACAATAAACAAGTGCACTTGTAAGCCTCGTGAGGCTTTTATTAATGCCCATGCCAACATTTCGGTGGCCCAATCCTTATCAATTAATCACGAGGCTTCCACACAAACTGTGGTGGTGTTCACACACACACACACCCTTTGGCGGGACCAAAGAGCCAGAGCTCAATCCCCCGCAAGCACAAAGAGATGAGTAGACACAACACATACTAATGCCATTTAAATGTTGGCGGCCTCGACAATGCACATCTGCCATCAAAGCTCTTTTTGCACGTAAATATTTTAATTCTGAACATTGTGAAATATGATGACACTATGGACTCGGAGGCCACCATTGAATTTTTCATGGGGATTGCTATGGGAGCCAGTCCAGGCCAGCCAATAACACCCCCTTCCCCCACTCCACTAATCCAGCAAGGGTTGGTGAGGCTAGCTCCAAGTGTCTCTAAGTTTACTGCTTTTATAGATACAGTATATAATATACATAAATGAAGTATATATAATATGTACAGTATATACTGTGTCTGGCATCTGGCTGAATTATATCTGGCGACTGTCTGGTTGCATAGAAATAATTTAATTTCTAAACACTCATCAGACCACCAGAGAAATCCTGACCAGCAACATTGAAATAAGAGATAAAGCATGATTTAGTCATAGTTGAAGCACTACTTGACCACCTCTCATCCATTTATTGCATATCTACAAGTGGCTTACACTTACAGATATATCCTACCATGAATAAGAAGACAGACTTACCAGTTAACATACCAACTTCCTCAGCCAACCAATAGTGAATGTAGAGCATGATTACCACGTCCCCTCAGCAGGCTAATACCTCGCTTCAGCTTTGTATATATATAAAGTACAATTACATTAGTTTTTTTACACTATTGCTTAATTTCGCATGTGTAAATTACTTTATTTTGTAACTGAAATTATCTCTAGTGGCCTCAATGAGGACAGGAAGCCAGCAGCCTGTCAAAGGTCCCTCCCATTTGTCCTGTTGATTTTATCAAGTTTGATCTTGAATTGCAACAGTGTTTTGGCATTTACAGCTTCAGTGGGTAAATGATTCCATGGGTTCTTAACGCTATTGGTAAAAAAACATTTTCTGTCTTACATTGTTCCTTGTTGAGCTTGAAATCATTGCTTTTTGCTGTGCTTGAAACCATTGTTCCTTGTTTTACATTTGACCTTCTAAAAATGCTGTCTGGATCAGTATCCTCTAAATTGTTCAGTATTTTAATAGTTTCGATGAGATCACCCTTGTCATGTCTGGTTTGTTTGTTTTAGAATAACAATTAATCTACAATTATTCTACATTATTAAAATTATAATATAATTATATAATTACTGTAATACAATTTAATTAAACAATATTTTTTTTAGATTTTGTCATGAAGAGAGAATTTAACACAGGGTTCATTTTTTAGGACCTATAAACTGTTGTCTTTTTAATCTTACAGATGAAACTTAATAGATTATTGTTGGTAAAGTCAAACCATGGTGCGACCGTTCTAAAAATAGCTGATGTAATTAAGAGAATGCTAAACTTGTTTAAGGAATACCAGTCTAACATAAAATAATCAGTGGGAGGGAAGAGGTCAGAATGAAGGAAATTAGCAAGTAAGGTAGAAGAACCTGACATGATGAGAGGATATGTATAATGAAACGAATTAGAATGGAAGAAATATGCAAAATTGGCTAAAAATACTGTATCTGGCCAAAATACAGTTAAACTAAGAAATACCAACTTGAATTTAATCCAAGCAAATGCATTATGACTACATGGACATGTGGATCTCAAAATCATTACACATTACAATTGTGGGGTTCAGTCCCTGAGCCCATTATGTGTTTCTGTAACCCTTTCCACTACTGCCCACGAGATGGGTATGGGGTGCATAATAAATGAACTAAACTAATATTACAATTTATCCAAGGACCACTCCAATGACAGGAAGCCAGTAGCATGTTAAAGGTTTCCCAATTGTGCCTGAGGATTTTTTTCCAAGTGGATTTGAACTGAAGTAATGTCTTGACATTTACAGCTTTGGTGGGTAGGCAGTTCCATAAGAAAATAATAAATATGACTAATATCGTAAACACATCGATATACTGTACTGTACTTAGCATCAGAAGCACATCTTGAGAGAACGAAATCAGATGCGTATGTGAATAGCTTCATTAAAGTGGACAAGGAAGCTTTCAAAATACAATATTGTAAACCACCTGAGACTAGTTATTGGGTAAAGTTGCATATCTCCAGACATTTAAGACAGATATTAATGTTCTTGGTGCAAATATTATGGAATAAATAAAAAAGACATTATATAAAATGGCACTATTGATTGGATGCTGTACATTCAATACCTACAAAGATATATCCAGATATTTGACACACAACCAAGTCTCCAAGCACCCTAATGCCAGTCTCCAGACAGAGGGACATATTGTTAGATTTGAGTTCAATATAGGAAGAGGACTAATCCTCAAATGTACCAGCAATATAAACATAAAAGAAATGGCAGTGAGGGAAGAGGTACACATATGCACAATATTGCAGTCATATCAAGATTTTTAAACAATTTTCTATGACTTAAACAAATAGCTTACAAGATGGACACAGATGCTTCAAGCAGTTAAAAAAAAATTTCCAGTGATGTTAATTAAGATTAAATTTTGTTAAAAAAAATATGAAAATTATATTTCAGGCACATGACATTAGTGATAAGCATTAATCACGATACTGTTGATGTCAAAGCTTGTAATAATTTAGCTTGTAATAATTTAATAACAAAAGGCTTGTACAGTAATTTTAAACTCAAATTTGAACAAATTCACCAAAACTAGCCAACTGAGTGTTGCATTTTAAATGTTTTGAATGAATACCAATTTATATGTATACATTTTATTAGAAACAGTTCTACTAGATAATGCTACATATTCAATCACATAATGCTGGAATGTCAGCAGTTAACCAGCAATTTCATAATTTGACTACAGAACAAAGCCTTACAGGTCAGATCACACGTTCAGTTACAAAGACACAGACTGAAGCACAACATTATGTACATCTCAAACTCACCAGCACAGTGACCAACATAAATCTCACCACATTGATTGTAGACTCGATATCAGGAATCTGTTGGAAGAATGCGCTGTGGATATATAATTGTCTTGGAAAACATTTGTCCCAACATATAGGCCCATGATACAAGCCTACATCATTATGGCACCTAAAATTATTGACTGGGCCCCATACAATTTCTGAAGGGCATACAAGGCTCTATGAGTTTGAAGTTATTTTCACCTCTAATCAAGAAAACTAGTTAGTTTATATCTTTCATACTCATTTGCTTATTTCTGAAACGTTAAGGCTGGCCACATTAAAAATGTTTAAAAATCATAGCCATTGGCTGTTTCAGTAAAAAACGGAAAATCATCGCCATCACCAAATATATTGTCATGTTATAAAATCGTTGTTAATATTTTAATATAAAATATTTACAATGCAGGGTTCAAAGTGTATCAATTCTGTTTTACATAAACATGCAAAAATGTGTCCACAATTGTGATTACTGTTCTGTTGTTGCAACTACAGTATAATACAATGGAGAAGTGGAAATAAATATTAACAAATAATTAATATTTTTATATGTATTGAGTAGTCTTCTGTTAACACGTATGCTTGCATAATTCAGTAAATTTACCTGTGCATGAAACAAAGTAATTTGTGCATTTCTTATTTAATGGTTGTTCTAAATTAAAGGCGAGCCATAACCACTGATACTGTTCAAGTATTGTCTAAAGAAGCAGTCACATTTTTATTAGTACTGTAGTGTCGTTGATTTATGGGCGACTGATTCTCATTAGTAAAGTAGCAAGATCAGAGAGAAGGCAGATATGTTGATCTATGCTTGTGAGAGTACAAAACCAACAATCCAAATAAAAAAGTGTACTGTAAATGAATTCCACATAATAATTTTAGTATTCTAGCTCATTTTGAACTAGTATACTGAAACAAAAATCCTAAATGGAAAAATGAGATGACTATATAATTCATTGTTAGAATTATAAATTATTGTATAAATCTAAAAGGATGCAAGATGCTCGCTGTTATATTTTTCAGGCTACAAAATAAGAGTTGGTTTAGAACTGAATAATATAAATATATTTCTGCATATGCTGTGAAAAAAAATAGTTATATTAAGGTCATTTTCTGAGAATCATTGTGTGCAGTACACCATACAGTATTTTACAATGTCAATACATGTGGATACTATACCGATTTTATTAACTTGTCAAGACCTGTTACATTGAAAATTCAATTTAATGCACAATTTTATGGCTTCATTCATAGAGATGTATAAACATCTTAATGATGTTGTCAGTAGACTATTCTGGTACAGTATAAGGAAATGTAACTTGTAAGTTCGCATTTCAAACTAGTACAGAATGATGTGTTTATACAACCAGTCTACACTCTTAATGTAGTGCAATATTGATGCTATCAACCACAGCATCAGAATTCTCGCACTTTAGTGAAATTAAAGCTCAATGTAATTGACACATGATAGGTGGATTGTTATTGCTAAAATTTAATACTTATGGTGAATTGGCAGCACTTCAAATCTGACAGTTGTTAAATCATGGTGAACGGGCAAGTTTTAAGAGAAATCAGGGAGTCTAACACAAGTTGAGGTAATGATTCCAAATATAAGTAGGAAACAAGTGATGTAAATGCTATTGGATTGTTATCATGGGTGGGTAACGAAGATTATATATGTATGATGACTATAGTACTGTACAGTACATTGAAAAGTTGTTTGGTGGAAGTGGCAAAAGAACACGGCATGGCTCAGACAAAAAGAAGTTGGTGTAAAGAATTAAAAATTATATAACCGGTAAATGCTTTCAAACTGATTAAGAAACTCATCCAATTGTTACACACATAAAATTGTATAAATATTCAGCAACTTGTATGTACTTTAAAAAGTTCCTTATTTTGTATTTAAAAATTAATTAAAATCAACCGAATACAGTATGTACTGTATATTGTATTTCATTAATTTAGGCTTGCTTTCAATTCATAATTTACATTTATAAGGGCAAAAGGAGGAGCCCAATACAGCCTTATGCACATAGTCTTCAAAGATAGAAATAAATTCTAATACTGTACACAGTGTGTATTATTCTAATAGTGTGAACAGTAATACATTTTCTGTAAAAAAATTAGAAAATCTAATTATGATTTTAATCATAACTTATTTTAATTACAATTACTGTACTCAGAACTAGTTAGAATTGTTTTAGAATTATCCCACTATATAAGTTTCTTTGAAGTGAACCTGATAATTTAGTAGAGGATGGAAATTTCCTATCTTCTGGAATTTCGTCTATAATATAAAATGCAAGAAAACCTACATATCAGTATGAAACAATTAAGCATCAAGAGCTTATCATAATTTCTTTGAATTAAGCATATTGTGAATTTGAGTGTAAGACTAGTTTAAGCACATATGAGATGTCATCCATCGTATTTGCTTCTATGTGCACTGCAATATGGATATTGTTAACCACTTTTTTTTCTGAAAATTTAAGTGTCCTTAAGTCTGAGAGCTGCAAGTCTTCTTTAACCAAAACGAATGATACGTACAATTTTTTAATTATACATTACACAAGATTTAAACAAATATATTGCCTGTGAATAGAGATGATAATTCCGATAAGGACCTCTAGAAGTTTTTGAAATCATTAGTTTCTACAAAGAAGATGACTTTGCCGAATTATGAAAAAAGCATACAGCACTGTACGTAAAACGCAATAAGAACAATTGAAGTGGATAAAGTGCAGTGCAGCAGTGAACATGGTGCATGCAAATGCAATGGTGAACATGTGCGTACCCATGCAGAGGTAAACATGGTGCACACTTGTGCAACAGTGTGCATGTGTGCAGTGGAGAACATGACGTGCACTCGTGCAGCAGTAAACATGGTGTACTGTCTGCAGAATGTTGACTGTACTGTTCTTGGTGCAGCAGGTTTTAGATTTTGTGCTACCATCCATAGAATTAGCTGTAAGGAACGATTTGAAGAATGTCAGGTTAACAAATCTGTGTTGCAGAATGACAAAAGTGTGTGCTTACTATTAAGACTGTTAGAAGAAGGATGTGTGTGTGCAAAATTATGACGATTACAAGCAGAATGACAGGTGTGTACATAATGTTGAATGCGTGCAGGATAATGACTGTTTACCAAATCTTGCAACTGTGAACTGTGTGCAGATTGATAATCTGATGTAACCAAAGACAATTAATAATTATTGGTTTTTACTTGTGTGCTAATGTTGAATTACTGTACTATATTGTTATTTAGTTATATTTTTGTATAAGCATTTTTTTTAATAATAAACATTAATGGCAGTAATGAGATTCTAGTAATTTATAATGAGATAGGTGCCGTTAAAATTCAATAGAATCATTACAATGAAATACGATAATTTGCAATGAAACAAACTTTTACAGTGAGATAGAATCCTTTACATTGAGGGAGAATACTTTGTGAGATAGGATCCTTTAAGTGGGGTAGGATCCTTCGAAAAAGAAATAGGATCCATTACATTGAAAAAGGATCCATTACAATGAGAGAGAATCCATTACAATGAAAAAAAATCATTACAGTGAAAAGGTATGTTTTACAATGTAATACAGTATACAGTCCTTTACAAATTAAAAAATCAGTCATGGAAAAAATGTGGAAAATGGCTGTCCACCCAAATATATTTGTCAGTACATTAATAACTTGACATACAGTGCATTCAAATTTAATTCTTAATGAAATTAGACATATTGTACATATGAATGACTGGGTATAAATAGGAGTTACCTTGCATGAACCAGTAGGTCTTTATTCAGTTATCCTTATTTCTTATGTTTAACTGCATTATTAAGAATACAGTATTAAAACAAAAAATATGGCAGATATTTGATTGCAATTGACAATATAATCTACAATAAATAAATCTTGTATATATAATTTATATATTTTTGCAATTCATATATCAAGAAGTGCTGCTGAAAATATAACAGAACTTATAAATTAAAAAATTGTGACCTTCAATACAGTAATTGGGTTGTATACAAGTTACTAATCAAAATACTGAGCCTTTTATTCACTAATGTTCATGTTTTTAAGGTACAGTAGTTCATAATGATATAGTGGTGTACTTAATCAAGTGAATATGATGAGCTACTGAAACATTACTAGCATTTATGGCATGGAAGACAAATGAAAGCAGTACATATATTTAATAAGTATTTTTTCTTCAGCATTTTGCAACTGTGTCCTTTTTATCCACTTGCATACGCAGGAAGTCACTCAAAAGACTTTTCGTTGAGCCATGGCCTAAAGATTGGAAGATTGTTTGGGTACTGCGCACCCTTCTTCTTCTTGAGTGTTCCGTCTGAGTTGCGGTAGGGGTAGGTGGCCATCATGATAGGTAGTTGAAGCTTGATCTCTTTCTCCAGGTTGTTGGGCTCAATTATGAACTGTGAAAATAGGATAATTTATGAACATTTATCACCATTACTACTCATAAAGATTCCAGAAGCAACTAACTGCTGCCCAGCTGAAATTTTATACTTTCCCTGGCTGGTACTAAAGCACAAATGAGTTAATGATTCACATCATGATTGAGAATTGATGACGACGTATGTAAATAGGTACGCAAGACGGGAGCCACGAGAGACGCCATACTTACAAACACATCGTACTGTATCCTTATGAGGTGACAGCCACGGAGGTTGGTGGGTGGTAGTGGCGGCACGTACAGCTGTTCGTGGGTCCAGTCGTCAGTGTCTCCGGGCTTCACCTTCCCTCGCGCCACGGACGACAGCTCCCGCGTCTCCGTCTGGACCACCTTGCTCTTGGAGATGTACTGGATCGTCTGTGGGGGCGTCCAGAACGGTTACCAACACCGCTCTATATAGGATAAACAACCTGAATTTACCCCGAGGGTCACTAACACTATAGTGGCCTCGACGAGGGCGGGAAGCCGGAGGTTTTTTATTGTTGCCGCCAGAGGCGGCTAGTTTATTGTGCACCCCATACTCATCCTGTGAGCGGTAGCGCAAAAGCGTTATAGAGGGCACAAGTGGCTTGTCAAAGATCCTGTCCATTTGCCTTGATGAAAAACTATATCAATGGCACTGACAATCTCAATTGTGAGATAGTTATATGGAATACCTGAACATTTACTACATCAACTGCAAGATGATTGAGTTACCCTGTACACTACTCTTTACTATTACAAGCAACGGGACTACTATTGACTTTAAAAAAATATACTTGACAATAATATTGTCTAGACTGTCACTTTCAATTTAATATTTTAAATATTGATTATATGTATACAGTTTATTTTGAACATTGCCTCACTGAAATCTAATCATCATCATGATGCTGGGAATAAATGAGTAAAATATGAACAGTTCACTCTGCCTTTCATGTCTGGGAGACATGATTTTTCCTGTAACTGGAGTGAACCTAAAACTGCTGAGAAGAGAGAGAGAGAGAGAGAGAGAGAGAGAGGACGTGTATTAATGCAGCTGGCTATTTCAGTTGAATTGGTTGCAACACACACATTCCACCGTGAGCTGTCAAAAACCTTGCCAAAATAGTTCACTATTTTTTTAACATGCAGTGCTTAATGTTGCAACTTTGGTAGATTTATCAGAGAATAAATGGAACACTGTGTTAAATTTATCACAGAATAAATGGAAGATTTATTCACACGACAAATGGAAGATTTATTCACACGACAAATGGAAGATTTATCACAGGACAAATGGAAGATTTATCACATGACAAATGGAAGATTTATCACATGACAAATGGAAGATTATGGAAGGTTAACGAGAAGGCAGTAAAGACACGCACCTCAGTAAGGCACGCTCGTGTCTTCTTGATGGTGACTCTGCTCTGATTGTGTACACGAGCCCATATGCTGATGGTCTCCCCAGGAACGTAGCCGCCACGGTCCAGCCTAACACGACAAGACACGGGACCCTGAGACAGACAGGTCATTCCCAGCTTGTGTTCAATCTCGCAGTGGAAAGGTTGCTGTAAAGGAGAGGACAAAACGCTTCAGTAATGCAGGCGAGAAGTCACAATAACGTGGCTGAAGTATGTTGACCAAACCACACACTAGAAGGTGAAGGGACGACGACGTTTCGGTCCGTCCTGGACCATTCTCAAGTCACAATCGACTTGAAAATGGTCCAGGACGGACCGAAACGTCGTCGTCCCTTCATTTTTTAGTGTATGGATTGGCTTCGGTAATGTTTTACTGTTTTCAGACTTTCTGTCAGAATTCTGGTCAACAGAATAATACGAAGTTTGGCTCATTCGATAGTTTAATAAGTTGTAAGAAATCTTGGGCAAATTTATCACCTGAAGGAGATGTCATACGTGGCACATGTAAATACTTTTGAGACATATCACCAGGAATGACAGTTACTTGCCTTGGTGATTAAGACGAGAACTTATGAAATACATATATGTAAAGGCAGCATATTGCACTGTCACTTGCGAATGGATTAATTATTTTTTGTGTAACTCTAATTTAAGTTGATCTTAAATTTAGAACTTGATTAGGCCTTTCTATACATTAATTCAATATCTTGTAAGTAAGGACACATCATTTGCAGCCTCAAATTAAATGAGCCTTTCAGTGCAAGCAAGAGAGAGAAACGTGAATTCAAATGTTAAATTTAAGAGATAAATTTCATGTTGATGTATCAAATAATAACCATGCATCCCTGCAATATTCAACTCACGCCAAGAATGGAAGGCTCGAGGTTGAGATCGATAGGGTTCATGACGATGAAGACTTGCTGGTTCTTGTGGGTGAGGCCGTTGGGCTCCCTGAGGGCGGCTTTGCAGAAGTATTGAACCCAGCCATGTTTTCCCAGGAAGGTGGAGGGCAGGCCCAGGGGCAGGCCCAGCTTGAAGGGGAAGCTGTGAATTCCCGGAGACAGCAGGATGGGACCCTGACCTGTACCACATATTCAAGCCAAGGTTTTTAAACAAGTTAATATGGCATACTGCTCATGGGTGATAATTATAGTGGGTGATACAATATATTGGTTTTCTCAAAGTTGCTGTTTATAAATGTAGCATTAGTGTTATTAGGAAGAGGGGGGTTATATATTCGCCTCTTAAAACTAAATAACAGGGCATGTGACTAAGCTAGCATGATTGCACTAATATTTGTATTAATATATGGGGGTGAAAGTATAAGAATAACAAAGTGTGGCTGATTATACACAAATAATGGGGGATGTACTCAGACACACATCAAGAACAAAGACATATTATGAAAGTAATGTCATATATTAAAGTGCTCAAGTTGCGCTTGAGCACTTCATATCAAGACTTTAATTCTGGGTGAATGTTGTGATTTTACATTATAAATATTTCCTGAGCGCAGCAAGACTTGAAGATAAATCTCTGATGATAATTCGTTTTTTGAGGGGAACAGGAAGACTGTGAATATATATATATATATATCTTAGGTTTGTATTGAGGTCCCCCAAAAAAGTTGAACTACTGACCCCTCCCTAGGATGCAACCCCACAACAGTTGCCTAACTCCCTGGTACCTATTTACTGCTGGGTGAACAGTGGCATTAGGTGAAAGGAAGCGTGTCCAGCCTGTTTGGACACGGTTCCTTTCCCGGAAGGTACTTTTCTGTCCCATCCGGGAATCTAATCTGAGATCCCTGATTGTAAGTCGAGAACGAAGCCGATTGTACTACGAGTCGACCAAACCCAGACATAATACATGGACTTGAGAACAAAAACTAGAATGATTAATCATCAAGAAGAGAAATATTGAGGAAAATTGAATAAAAAGAGAACATTTCTAGGTGAAGTAAAGAGGATCCAACAAAAGAATGGCACTAGTACCAGCTGTGTTAGAAGTGCCTATGTAAATCATTATTCAACTAGCTAGATCTATCTTGTTATTAACCAAATTATACTGACCTTAAAATATTCCATTTAATTATCAGACATGATTGAACAAGCAGCCTTACGGCCAACAAAACAAATGAACCAAAAGTCACTTTTTTAAGCTGCAGTGTAAGTAATTTTAGAGTAATTGATGGTCATCGTTGCTCTTACGGATATTATCAAGCAACACTAATCCACATAATACTTCAACACTTATCAAGGAACATAAATGGATATTAATGCATTATCAACTTTCGTCAGTGAACACAAATAGACACAAATACTGTAGCATTCACAGTTAAGAAAACGGGAAGCAATATGTGTTAAGCCGACAGACGCGATGCGTTGCTCATCTTTGTGTGGGGGGAAAACACATGTATACAAGAACAAGATTATTTGTTTCAAAACTAATTTTGTTTTGTGATGAGGCAGCGTGGCATTAATTATATATATTTTTTAACTCAGGTCAGTGCTTCAACTCTGGTGAGCGGCTTCAACTCGGGTGAGTGGCAGGCTTTGCAAAATAATATTAAGGGATGCAATGGAAGATGGGTTAACCAACTTGTCAGAAACAAGATGGTTAATAACATTACAAGGATGCCAGGATACAGCACAGGAAATTATAAAGATGCCAGGATATAGCACAGGAAATTATGAAGATGCAAGGATACAACACAGGAATCTATAAGGATGCCAGGATGGGGCTTACTTCTGGTACATCTACTACATTATAAGTACAGGATAAGCTGGTTACATAGCCACTAACATCAAAACCAGCCATTGTCAACCCATCCTCCTGGCGTGACAGCACTTACACTAACTGGTTAACAGTACCAATATGAAGTAATCAGTAAGTTCTCTCTTGTACTTTTTTAATCTTATAGTCTGGGAAAGATAAAGCTAAGTACCGGACTTAAACATTCATAGGCCTAATATTGCACATATATGCACTAAATTAGGCCTAAGATAGATGTATTAAGCCTAGGATTGCTAGGGGAGGTTAGGCTAGGTTCTAGGCAAAAATACCAATGTAGCGAACAAAAATGAGGCCTGGTCGAAGACTGGGCTTCCGGGACGCTAAATCCCGAAATCATCTCAAGATAACCTGAAGATAGCGAAGCCAGAGAAAGGGACGAATGTCAATAATGGAAAAAAGAACAGTTTAAAGGAATTCCTGACAAGAGCAGTAGAGAGAGAGAGAGAGAGCATCCCATAACAACACCAAACGTTATAGAGAAATGAAAGAGGCAAAGTTAATCAATACAGAGTCAGATGAGATCAACAAAGGCGCCAGTGTGAAGCAGGATATGAAGAAGGCCCTCAGTCGCCTTCCGACTATGGAAAGAAATCATCATCAAATGGAGCATTAGAAAACAATCTATCGAGACTAAGCATCTCACAGGGAGGCTTCAGGCGCAATCTGTCGAGGACGTCCTGGGAATGACTAGCGCGAGCAGGAGAAAAAGCAAAGATAAAGAAAGAGTATTGTTTAGCAAGCCATGAAGCAATTCAATTTCTTTCTTTATTATACACCCCATACCCATCCCGTGGGCGGTGGTGTAAAGGATTACAGAGGCACATAATCGGTTCAGGAACTGAACCCTCTAGTTCGTTTAGCTAAGCAAATAAAAATTTTTTGACGCTAGTTACAAAATTATTAATGTGATATATACATTAATAATTTTGTAACTAGCGTCAAAATTTTTTTATTTGCTTATGAAGCAAGAGGATAAACAATAGAGCCTCTTGACGAAGCAATTGGACAAAGAGGAAGGCCAGGTTTGTGAATAAGAATAAGGAAGCTAACACGGGGAAATTTTTTGACTAAGAGGCTACAGAGGTGTGTAACATGCGGTTAACAGTAGATTCCAGCCGATCAAAAGGGCTAGAAATATGAGGAGCATATATCCGAGAGTCAGAAAGCTAAGCCTTAGCCTATTTTAGGTAGTGCTCACGATCACCGAGGACCACCTAATTGCCTTGTTCAGAAGGATAACAATAGCTTTACGACTTGGTAAGGATTCAGGACGGATTGAAACACTTTCATTTTCATATATGTGGGTTGGGTTCTTTGCAAACAATTTGTAAACAAAATGTAATTGTATAAATCAGGGATTTGCGAAGATGTAAATGCTTGTTAAAACTGTTGTGGGTTTTGAAGATATGAAGAATGTAATACCGAGACTTACTGAAAAGACGTGATAATATAATGCTGAGAGATGTTCATATATTATAAAACAATTAACTTTCGTGTATGTGTGTGAGAGAGAGTAAATAAGAGAATAAAGTGAGAGAGAGAGAGAGAGAGAGAGAGAGAGAGAGAGAGAGAGAGAGAGAGAGAGAGAGAGAGAGAGAGAGAGAGAGAGAGAGAGAGAGAGAGAGAGAGAGAGAACCTCTTAAAAATCTAAGTGGCAGGTATAAATTATGAGTCAACTGACAAGTCTGTCACCTGGTGAATGAGAAACAAAACATGAACGGTAGATCCCTTACGTCGTCATGTCAGGCAGACAGTTCGTCCCCACGATTAATGGATGAAAATGGAACTCGCGTAAAGTTTGAGAAGAATATTAATCTACTGGAAATTAGCTTGACAAACGAATGTTACAATATGGCACTAGTTAGTCGCAAACAAATATTAGAACAAGGTGAGCTCGAGTTCGCAGATTAATATATGCAGTTAGTGATGACTGGAGGAGACGCAGGGGACTGGCGTTCGCGGATTCATGCGGCTGAGACAAATCTGTGACTTACCGCCGTCATCTCTGTCGTCTTGGGGCTCCAAGGGGTAACGTTCGTCTGGAAAGAGGATAGGTTACAACCAGGCAATACATGGCCCCCTGGCGGATTTCACAACAAAACATTACAAACTGGAGTATTGATTAAGCGCTGAGGACATGTTCAATCTTTGTGAATTTATTAATACTTATTTTCAATAATGCAAAATACATTAAAAGTGAATTTTGACCATTAATATATACCGGTAGAGGATTTACGAACACTTAAGAGAGTTCATTTCACCATTATGGGTTCGTAATGGCTGTAATAAGTATTGAAGTGAGAGTAAATGTTGAGTAACTCTTAAGCCGAAGTTAGAGAATAGCTTCTTTGAGGAGCGTATGTGACCCACTGGTCATGCTCCTTGTGTTGAGACGTCAAGTCTGTTGCTGGTACTCTCAAGGTACTCCACAGTCCCCTGTGTGAAGGTCGTGCAAGAATATTGGTGCTGTCAAGATACCTGAAAGTCCCCTGTGTCATGCCATAATATTGGTGCTGTCAAGATACCTGAAAGTCCCCTGTGTCATGCCGGAATATTGGTGCTGTCAAGATACCTGAAAGTCCTCTTGTGTCATGCCGGAATATTGGTGCTGTCAAGATACCTGAAAGTCCCCTGTGTCATGCCGGAATATTGGTGCTGTCAAGATACCTGAAAGTCCTCTTGTGTCATGCCGGAATATTGGTGCTGTCAAGATACCTGAAAGTCCGCTGTGTCATGCCAGATTATTGGTGCTGTCAAGGCAGCTAAAAATCCCCTGCGTCATAAGGTCATGCCACAAGAAATTATATTTACAAAGGTATCTGAAAGTTCCCGAGGTACTTTGGTGGAGAAACCTGAACATTGTGAACAAACATGAACAAAAAGTCTTCTAAAGTATTGACACAAAACTTTCCAAAATGCCAAACATAAACAGATCTAAATGTGTTAACAGTGCTGAGGTTAGTTTTAAGATTAACGTCAGCGAGGTAATGTTAAAATGACCTCTCTAGTCAATAGAAGGTAAAATTACCTTCTAATTTTAACATTACTTACGACTAAAATCAGTAGACGAGCCTTGTGTGGACTTTAGAGCTAGAGGGGCATATATTAACAATATAACTGACTTATTTTAAGTTATGCCTGAAATGCTTTGTGTACCGGTGGCTTTTAGTACGCTCTTTATTTAAGAACTATCAGCTACTGTACTATTTAATTGTTAAATACAAATTATTATGAAATTATTATGAATAATGGTTTGAAATACTGATATTTTACTGAGTAGTCAATCCTGTCTGCACGCATTTGGATTTTCCCGAACACTAGTTAAATAGTTAATATTTCTCCGTCCATATATTTAAATGGGGTTCTAGAATCTGCTAGTGTGGTGTAGGCTTCTCTCACAATGACCTTCATGGGGTCGTCTGGTGACACCTTACTCTCCAGAAACTCTCTTAAGATCTCTTTCCATGTCAGAAGTTTTGAATATATTTTTCATATAATTTGTAGGTTAAGTTTTGTTTTCCAATATTCTACATTGCATTACATGACATTTATTTACGTTGAAGTCCATATGCCATGTGTTGCTCCACTCACTTATTTTGTCTGGGCCATTTTGTTGGGCACTACAGTCATCTAAGTCACAGACTTTCCCCGAGCAGTTTAGCATCACCTGCAAATATATTCGTGTAACTCTGTATTCCCTTTGGTAGATCATTTAGATAATAAACATCATCGGTACAATTACTGAACCTTGATGTGCTCCAGTAGTGACATTAAAATAGATATGTTTCGTATGATTACTGTCCGCATTTGTCTGTGTTAAACAATTTATCATCCAGTTTAGAAGTATGCCAGTCATGTCTCCAATGTGTTCTAACTACCAGAGGAGTGTCTTGAGTGGGACTGTCACGTGTTTCTTTTAAATCCAAGTATGTACGGCCGGCCCAACCTGTCCTTTCTTGTTACAGAAAGGACAGGTTGTTACAACTAAATAAACTTGTTACACAAGACCTTCCCGTTCCAAATCAAAGTGTGTGTGTCAGTTATTACGTTCTTACTTTCCATGTACTCTGTCGATTAGAGTTTAATAATTTGTTTCTAGTGCTTTTACTACCACGCTTGTCAATGATACAGGTTTACAAACTGTTCTGTTCCCATTCTTACTGACTGGAACTGTCTTTGCCATGTCTCCACATGCGCAGCTGGGCACTGCACAGTTCCACTGCATCTTTACCCCGTTTCTAAGGACGCTCGCAGGATTAATTATTGAAGGTCGTTAACCTGTGATGCACATGCCCCGAGTACCCGACTGGTCAAACAGCTTTATCTCCCCGAGCAGTTTTTCTAGCTCTCTGAGCGCTTCTCATTCCTCACGAACACACACACACGTTGGAGTTGTTCTGAAATCATCGCCCTTGCGATGATTTCAGGGCTCAACGTCCCCGCAGCACAAAATGTGTGAAATGTTTCACACATTTCCTTTTCAGTCTCTGTTAGCCAATCTCCCAACTGTATTCTTTGGATTTTGTCTTTCACTTGCAATTTGATTTTCACGATTATGTGGGGAATCTTGAGGTTATCTTGAGATGATTTCGGGGCTTTAGTGTCCCCGCGGCCCGGTCCTCGACCAGGCCTCCACCCCCAGGAAGCAGCCCGTGACAGCTGACTAACACCCAGGTACCTATTTTACTGCTAGGTAACAGGGGCATAGGATGAAAGAAATTCTGCCCATTGTTTCTCGCCGGCGCCTGGGATCGAACCCAGGACCACAGGATCACAAGTCCAGCGTGCTGTCCGCTCGGCCGACCGGCTCCTTCCCCATTCGGGGAAGGAGCCAAATTTTGTTTTATATTTGCTATTCTCTTCTCATATTTTCTTTCTTTTCTCACTGCTCTGTAGCTGTTTCTTGTTCGTTTGTATTACTTGTATGTTTGAGGGTATGACTTCTTCCTCGATTAATTCAATTTTGTTTGTTTTCAGTTTTTCAATATATTTTTCCTCTATTATGGCTACTATACATATTTCTCTAACACACACACACACACACACACACACACACACACACACACACACACACACACACACACACACACACACACACACACACACACACACACACTCCCACACACACTCCCACACTCATACACACACACACACACAGTCTCACCAGTTGATTGACGGTTGAGAGGCGGGACCAAAGTTCCAGAGCTCAACCCCCGCAAGCACAATTAGGTGAGTACAATTACGTGAGTACACACACACACACACACACACAATCACACACACACACACACACACACACACACACACACACACACACACACACACACACACACACACACACACCCACACTCATACACACACACACACACAGTCTCACCAGTTGATTGACGGTTGAGAGGCGGGACCAAAGAGCCAGAGCTCAACCCCCGCAAGCACAATTAGGTGAGTACAATTAGGTGAGTACACACACACACACACACACACACACACACACACACACACACACACACACACACACACACACACACACACACACACACACTCATTCTACCACCTTCCTTTCAGAGATACTCAACCTATTTCTGTGTTCACAATTCTCACAACCTATCCTAGTCGTCTCAGGTATGTAACCAAGTTTTCTGTTTCTCCCTCAGGTATGGAACCAAACACTCTGCTGCTCCCTCAGGTATGGAACCAAACACTCTGCTGCTCCCTCAGGTATGGAACCAAACACTCTGCTGCTCCCTCAGGTATGGAACCAATCACTCTGTTGCTCCCTCAGGTATGTAACCAATCACTCTGCTGCTCCCTCAGGTATGTAACCAATCACTCTGTTGCTCCCTCAGGTATGTAACCAATCACTCTGTTGCTCCCTCAGGTATGGAACCAATCACTCTGCTGCTCCCTCAGGTATGGAACCAATCACTCTGCTGCTCCCTCAGGTATGGAACCAATCACTCTGCTGCTCCCTCAGGTATGTAACCAATCACTCTGCTGCTCCCTCAGGTATGGAACCAATCACTCTGCTGCTCCCTCAGGTATGTAACCAATCACTCTGCTGCTCCCTCAGGTATGGAACCAATCACTCTGCTGCTCCCTCAGGTATGGAACCAATCACTCTGCTGCTCCCTCAGGTATGTAACCAATCACTCTGTTGCTCCCTCAGGATTGTAACCAATCCCTCGGTTTCTAACACATGACCTCTCCATCTACCCCCGCACCCTCTATTTATCCCCCAAGTACCCCCAAGCTATTCGCGACACACCACCTGTCTTTCTGTCCCCTCTTAACTCCCTGCCCTGGTAAGCAACCTATTTCTCTCTTCGTAACGCATATATAACCTATTTTACCCCTTTCCTTTCCCCCCAGATCTCAACCTTCGCCTATATTCCTATTCCAACCTACACAGCCTATTCTTGCAACCTTTTGAATGAGAAGATCTTCAGAACAGAAGAGAGAGAGATCTAACCAGCATCCTGGGTCGCAGATTTTATCTCGTTTTTTTGTGATTTAATTGTGTAACTTATCTACCTATCTGCACTCTGATAACCTATCCATCTCCACCTATGCAGACAGTTCACCCATCCACGTGCAATACGCGCTAGCTAACTGTTGTTGTTTTAGATGTAGTTACGCAGAACGAAACGACCATGTAGCACGGGCTATGGTGAGCCCGTAAGCTAGCTAACTTTCTGCCACCATTATATATAGGCTAGCTCCTGTTATATGTAGAGTGAATCTTCTGTGGTATATGAGGCTTTCTTACCGACATACGCAACGTAACGATGTTGTTCGTATATTGTCGTAACATAGTGTTGAGCGTTGTGGGTTTTAACTGATCAACCAGGCTGTGATTCATACATCAGGCTGCGAGTAGCCGCGTCCAACAGCCTGCTTGACCAGTCCACCAACCAGGAGGCCTGAAACCAACGCAACTCAAACCACCATACTCTCCCATTCATACTTTCTCCCTATTCCTTCCTACTTGTCATACTTCTTCCTATATCCTTACTACCTTCTTTCTGTCTTTACTATCTACTTTTATCCTTCCTTTTTTCTTTCCAATCGCCTTTCTCTCCCCTGCTTCCTTCGCCTCACTCTCCAGCCTCACCTGGTTCCCCAAGGAGCCTCATTCGGAAGTCGATGTAGTTCTCCTTGTCGGTGAAGATCTGTTGTCTGCGGTCCGTCACGCGCACCACACCTTCCCCCACCACGTGGAAGTACACACCTGTCGACCACACACAAGGACAGATTAATGTCTGTTAGGGAGAAATCTGGGCAGATTAATGTCTGTCAAGGAGAAATCTGGGCAGATTAATGTCTGTCAGGGAGAAATCTGGGCAGATTAATGTCTGTCAGGGAGAAATCTGGGCAGATTAATGTCTGTCAAGGAGAAATCTGGGCAGATTAATGTCTGTCAGGGAGAAATCTGGGCAGATTAATGTCTGTCAGGGAGAAATCTGGGCAGATTAATGTCTATCAGAGACAAATCTGGGCAAATTAATGTCTGTCAAGGAAAAAGGTAAGATTTTTTCAATATATCGGGAAGAAATTAAGATAGCCCTATCAGGGGAAAAAAACGAGGGAAGAGTAATACAAAGAACAGTGAAAAAAACTAAATTAAATCGTGAATATTAAATAAGTTTCTACAGAGCTTATACTCTAGTTCACCGTGATATTAATGGTTAGTTGTAATAGATCAAATATCTGGGTACTGGTATATTATTGTCTGGGAGAGAACAAACAGGTATGGGCTGTGGGGGATTTAGAACCAAGTTCTGTGGCTGGATGAAATGAAATTGTAATTGTTTAGGAGACGAGCGATGCCAAAGCGCAGAGCTGGTCAGCCTTTTGTCGAGAAGAGTCTATCATCCTTCTGTGTTTGGCTCTGTTGCGCTCTACGGCAGTGTGTTTGGCTCTGTTGCGCTCTACGGCAGTGTGTTTGGCTCTGTTGCGCTCTACGGCAGTGTGTTTGGCTCTGTTGCGCTCTACGGCTGTGTTTACTGGCTCATACTCAGTGTGTGTGTATGTGTGTGTGTGTGTGTGTGTGTGTGTGTGTGTGTGTGTGTGTGTGTGTGTGTGTGTGTGTGTGTGTATGTGTGTGGGGGGGGGGGGTCAGGAGACAGTGAGAAAAGCAAACCTTTTCAACCTTATCAAACACGAGCACTTTAGCAAACGGTTCTCTGAAGCTCTTGCCCTTTAATACACACAAAAACTATTATACCCGAAAAAGTTCGCTTAATGTAATAAACAAAAAGATCTGACTTTGAGTTCACTCTTAATTTTCATATATTCAATTCATAGTAAGAATTTATGACATTCTTACCATTCTTATAAATAATCTTTCATCCACCTAGACGACAACATCGCGCATCTGGTAACGTTGTATCTCGTACAGAGTGGCGCAGAAGTCATACCATACAGCATATAAGAACTGCATATCATATACAGAGCGACGCAGAAATAGCATTGGCCGTCTGGAAACTTCGAACTTAATAAGGAACGACGCAGACTTGACATCACAAAGCCTTCAGACACTTCGTACTTCAAGCAGAGACAAGCAGAAATAATAGGCGAGGAGTCATAATAACGTGGCTGAAATATGTTGACCAAACCACACACTAGAAAATGTACGACGACGTTTCGTCGTCGTCCGTCGTTGTACACAATCGACTTGAGAATGGTCCTGGACGGACCGAAACGTCGTCGTCCCTTCATTTTCTAGTGTGTAGTTTGGTCAACAATATCAACCTTCAGCTCTTCCAAGCTCCTCGGCCATACACAGCCTGACGGAGCAAATAGTAATCACCTCAGAAGCCTAGTCCCAGGTCGGGGCTTCGAGGGAAAAAGAACTCTCAAGATCCACTACATGTAAAAGCCTCCGGGAGAAACATTTCCATATAAATAGTGAAACGAATTTTTCTCCCATTTCTCGTCCCTCTGGAACTAGGGAATCTTGTCCCTTTGGGATGTGGTCACGCGCTCTTACCCCTCCCAACCACCGGGAAACCAGGGGAATCCCTGGAACTTGCAGGACGGGAAGGTTGCAGGGAAGGGGAATGAACGGCCGGAACAGAGGACCTCTCGAGGTCACCCAGTGTGACGTTATATTTAGATGACAAAAAATAATTGTGGACTCTTGATGCATGCTTTTTAATGCAATGTCATTGTTGTTATTATAAATTTGCCAGTAAAGAGCTCACCCGTGAATTTTAGACAAGGTGGAGCGGCGGAAGGTTATATGTGTGTGTGAGGGGTCAGGAATAGGTCATATGGGAGGGTTGTGTGTGTGTGTTAGCGGCGGATCTGTTGTTGTTATAGATTCAGCTACTCAGAACAAAAAGTTCCAAGTAGCACGGGCTATGGTGAGCCCGTAAAGGGGCGGATCAAGTGAGGTTCATGTTATAACGAGTGTGGGTCAGGTGTGGGGGCCAGGGCAGAAGATCAGGGGTGGCTCAGGGGGTAGGTGTGGGTGTGTGATGCACTTCCCGCCAATCTGGCCCTTTACCGCCAATTGTTGTCTTTTCGCGCCATTTTCTTTCGGAAAACGTTATAATCAGTCTCGCATTTTGCAGTCTTCTTTCAGTTCCCGTTATCTTCACCACTTCCTTATTTCTTTTTTCAGCTTCTTTACATTCTCATTCCTCCCTTCGAAGTGAAATATTATATATCCAGACAGTTAATGATATATGAATTTGAATTATCTATCCAAGTATACATTTGATGATAGATGTTCGAGTTTCTTAGTCTAACATCCATTGAGGATAGGTGGTCTAGTTACCTATCCTAACACCCATTGAGTCTTAGGACAGGTAACTAACTCTCCCTATCAGTCTTTCTCTCTCTCAACTCTCTCTCTCTCTCTCTCTCTCTCTCTCTCTCTCTCTCTCTCTCTCTCTCTCTCTCTCTCTCTCTCTCTCTCTCTCTCTCTCTCTCTCTCTCTCTCTCTCTCTCTCTCTCTCTCTCTCACACCATCGTGACAGACCAAGAGAGCTCATTATACATGCAAACACTTCCGGTTTGAGGTCTGGACAGTTCCCACACGATTTTAGGCTTTTCACCCCTTTTCTTTAGCACCCCCTTTCACCATCTTGGCTCCCCTACCCCCTCCCTTCACCCCGTCTCGATCAGACCACCACCCATCCCCCACCCCCACCAAATCACTCCCAATACCCGCCTAAGTAGCCTGACTATCTGCAAGCGAATTACATTAATAAGCTGTGAGAGAGAGAGAGAGAGAGAGAGAGAGAGAGAGAGAGAGAGAGAGAGAGAGAGAGAGAGAGAGAGAGAGAGAGGAGGAAGGAGGGAGGGATGAGGGGAGAGAATGCTTGTTTTAATACATATGTATTTTTAAACTAACATTGTAAGAGTGATATTTCAGTTTTTTAATTTTCTATATTATTGTTTTTTTTCTCAATCTATCGTCTGATTCTTGTGCTTCATCCGGAGCTTAGTGCAAGACTCAGATCAATCCCATCATGACAGGCAGAGGTTGCACAGTACTCACCTAATTGTGCTTGCGGGGGTTGAGCTTCGGCTCTTTGGTCCCGAATGTTGCATACTGGGTGTGTTGCCCCCCCCCCTCCACAATCACCCACAACCGCCCGGCTCAACAAACTCCACCAATATTTACCCCACCACAAACGAGGTCTGAAGGACCCCTCGGCTGTGCCTCCTGGGAAGAAAACTACAACGTGTGATTTCAAACGGCGGTGAGCGTGATAAGCAAGGGATATACGTGATATAAGTTCTTCAGGTCACGTATATAAGATATACATGACCTGAAGAACAGTTCATGATGAACAAGGAAGAGAACACGACTGGTGGCGAGGTCCAAGGACAAGGATCCTTGTTCACGGACCACCCGTGCTAAATAATTTGTCAGTTTATCTACTGTGTCAATTCCTCTTTGAGAATTTTGTACGGGGGTAATCATATCTCTTAACTCTTCTGTCTTCCAGTGACGTGAAGTATAATTCCAGTAGTCTTTCCTCGTGACTCATACCTGTCAGCTGTGTAACTAGTGTAGTGGCATACCTCTCAACTTTCCTAACTTCGTCTTGTGTTTGACTAGATATGGACTCCACGCTGGAGCCGCGTACTTCAGGATTGGTCTGACATACGTGGTATACAAGGTTCTGAATGATTCGTTACACAAGTTTCTTAAAACAGTTCTTATATTGACCAACCTAGCATATGTCTCTGATAATATTATTTTGATGAGCAGCGGCCTCCTAAGGTTTCCCGACGTCAAGAAACTGTCGTTCTAAAGTGTCCCTCTCCTAACCTACCAGAGGTCCCAAAACAGAAAACGGGACAGTATGTCAATTTCGCGAGCCGCTAACATTTTCTAGTACGACGATTTTTGACCTGAGGTAAGAGTATACGTCAAAATGTGACGTTCAATTAGAAGGACGGATTGCGAAGTTCGGTGTGATATCAACAGTACCAGATCTTTTTTCTTTGCCTGATATGTGAAATATTTCATCTACAAGTGTGTGTGTGGGGGGGGGGGGGAAGGAGGGTGTGTGCGTTAGCACAGGTGCACGCGCGTGTTGCTGCTCAAATGCTCACTGTAGTTGGCTGCACAATCACAAACTCGTAACATGACGACGTGACAGGTAAGGAACTGAACTTAATTCCCAAGCCTGATGACATGACCCACAAGAGGTCATGACACGTGATAACCATGAGGCGATATGACAAATGCTGCGCGCGCACACACACACACACACACACACACACACACACACACACACACACACACACACACACACACACACACACACACACACACAAAGATGTTGATTGACGGTTGAGAGGCGGGACCAAAGAGCCAGAGCTCAACCCCCGCAACCACAACTAGGTGAGTACAACTAGGCGAGTACACACCCACACACACACACACACACACACTCACGTAACCGCACATGATTCTTGGGATAAGCGTTAACAAGCATCCAAAGAAAACGGAATTGGGGTTAGGACTGTAATTTCAGACCATAACTTTTTCAGTATAGCGAAGGAAGCGAACAGTATGTCACATATCAGGCACAACCGCACAAGATACTCAACCGTGTCAGCTGACTCTACGTAAGCCGAGATCACGGGTTCGATGACCAGATTCTTTCTTAGTTCTTATTGGCTATTCCATGGAGCCTTGTGGCCATGGAATTCAACTCTCTTGTGAGGTATACTCAGTATCATATTAAGGTCTTGTTATATGGT